ACCTTGTCGTGAACTAGGCCCGAAATGGTCCTGAAATAACCCTGAACTACACAAAAAGCAATTACAGATTTTCTGCTTAGGCTTAAGCTGACAGCCTACTTTGTTTGGGTTTGTCTGTCATATTCTCCTAGTCTCATCTAAGCCGATTTCTCCGAACGTTACATTTGGTTTCTCAGGATATTCAGCAAATGGTTTGTTGAAAAAAAGGGTTTGCTTCCTTTTTCTCCGACTTTAGGGTCATTGCTCATTCCTCGCAAATATGCTCGTTCCTAATCAAATTTAGTTACAGACTTGCAAATAATTTTTCGCTTAAGAAATATGTATGTACGCGCATATTTGTAAACAAATCCTTTAAATCCCATCTATTCATGGTATTTGTAGAGTTACCGCAAAACATGTTTAATCTTCTGGATTATAATTTCAAAATAAGTTACATAATCCTCCACAAAAAGATAGTAAACCAATAAAAATATTGAAATATGCACTTAAATATGTACATACTTGCATATTACATACTTACATATATGTATGTACATGTTAATAAAAAAACGCTGAGGACTAGCTAAGAAATAAACGATTGAATTTAGCACCGTTTACTAAATTGAATGAGTGCAAAATAATATTTAGTCCCGCCGTTAGTTAGGGCAAACTTAAATGGCAACAACGACATAGTCATACAAACATATTTTTTTTTTAACCGAAAAATTCAAACATATGCATACAAATTTCTAAGCCATTTTTTCGTTTGCACACCTTTGAGCCAATTTGTTTACTCCGTGTTACATACACACATACATTTGAAACAAAAAAACACTGGCGCATTTCAATCGCAAAAAATGCCGTGCGAAAATTGCTAAACAAAAAACAATTCTGCATTTTTAGACTTTTATATGACACAATTTTCATATGGCTGCGAGCAAACTGGCGTTTTTACAGTTGACAAAAAATGTGCATAGGTATCTAAATAGAAGTGTATATATTCTTTTTTTTTGTGCGTTTAGTAGCCGTATTAGCATAGAAACAAATCAAAGAAGAGAACACAAAGGAAAACAAAACAAACTCGCGTGACGGCCGCTTTTTTTGTGACAAGTTAATGAAAAATTTTGTATTTTCTTGTTGCTGCCACAAAAGTCCAAGTTCAAAGTTAAATGTAAATTTAAATTCAGGGACAAAATAGTTATAAGGTTTTTTTTTCGGAAAAACGTTGTTCAATAACAGTTATTAGATGAGAAATATTTTTTATTTCGCCGATAAGAGTTATTTCCGAACATTTATTTTTTACGTTACTTGATAACAGTTATTACCCAACGTTTATTTCTACGTGCAAACTGTAGGTAGGATCGAATATAGCATCATACTATATTTCTCATAGTCTCAGAACCCTTATTTTTTATTAGAGAAAAAATGCTAGTTTCGTCATTGTTGCACTCATCTGTACATTACCTAACTGCTTTTATCCGATTTGAAAAATCATACATATATTTTTTGGAAAGGCATAATTTCGTTTGAGAATGCTGCAACGAGTAGCCGGCCTATAGTGGATAAAATAAAGGTGGTCATGGACAAGTTAGTCTGCGGGTCTCAATTTTTGTGAACTTTTTTTTATTTTGTGTCAAAATTGAAATTTTTTTTTGGTTTTTCTTAATTTTTTTTTTGAAAAATTTACTTATTTGTATCTACAAAATATATCAATTAAAAACTTGGACCATTGCTAATTTCAAATATGGCTATGAAAGTTATAGTATATGTCGAAAAGTGCCATTGTTTAACCGGATACAAATTTTCGAAGTTACAGCTTAACCAGACGGCAGCGTTGATATGGATTAACTCGGACAAAATCCGGATCAACTGCAGTTAATTCCCGAGTTAATCCGGATCAACGCAGCCATCTGTTTATGCTTTTAGGCTTGTATTGGGTTTTCACATCTTTTGCACAGAATTTTTTAATAATTACTCAAAATTTATATTCAAAGTGGCTTTTAAGCAAAAACTTAGTTTTTAATGAATTTTTATTAAATGGGTATACATTTGATAGTCAACACAGTATTTATTGGCAATTAATTGTACAAAAAAATAAAAAAAAAATTGCAACTACTTTATACTATTTGATATTATTAATGACGTGTGCCTTTACTAGTGACATACAATTTGTATAAAAAGTGTATTTTTTCAGAAAATTATTCCTTTAAAATTAAAAACAAAAAAAAATTTCAATTGTATTGTGCTTTTTTCAAAAATCAGCTGACAACGATATATAAGGAGTTTCATCGGATTTTACTTAAAATAATGCAAATTCAAATCGGGTAAAAATTGAGATCCGTTGACTGGAGAATAGTTATGTTAACAAGCATAGTTGCCTTCAGGAGTGACTAAATAGAAGGATTTTCAAAGGGACCCGGATTTTTTTCTAAAATTTGGATGGAAAATAAAAATTATAATCAATCAATAGAAGACGAGTTTCTTCCATCCAGAATTTTAAAAAGCACTGAACAAGATTTTTGTTGACGACGTGTAATATTTTTTCGTAAAGATATAAAATTCACTAACTTCAGATATTTCACTCTTTTTTTTTGATTTTTTAGCATAAAAAAGCTCAAAAGTTACAACAGCAAAACGTTGGTACTAAATAGATTGAGGAGCAAAAATAAAATCACAACTTCGACGCAACACTTCACTGCCTTCTAAAAATAAAGCCGACGGTAGTGAAATGGCCACCAGTTGCCGTCAAATAAAATAATAAAGACAACAATTTTCTAGGCCATTTGCAGCAGTAAGGGAGGAAAAAAAAATCTTGGCATAAAAATCAGGCCAAATATTGCAAACAATAAAAGAGCAAACAAAACAACAACAAACAAATAACAAATAAATCTATAAAAGTCACAAAAAATGCAAAATCCTAAAAAATGTTAGCCTAGCCGCAAGTATTGCCAACGCAACGTCAAATAAAATCCCTCGCACACAAATAAATATTAGCTTCGTGCACACAAATCAATTTGGCGTGATTTAGAAAAAATACCGTTAGTCACTGCCGGCCAAAACCACCCAACCACCCTTATATGTATATATGTAGACGCCCAGCCAGGCATGTCGCCAATTTCTATGTTCTATTTGACATTTGCGCTTAGATTGGCCGTCAAAATGGACTAGCGTGGCAATTGAATTTTTATTTGCTGCTGTTGTTGTTGCTGGCAAACTGGTAGTCGGTTCACATTTGTATTTTTTTTTATGTTGTTTTTTTCGAAATACATATTTTATTAGAATTTTTTCACACATTTAGAATTTTTTAACGGCGGCGCGCCACTTTCTAGGTTATCGACATTTGTTTACATACTTTTAGGCTTTTGGACTGTGTGAATTTCACTTTTGAGCATTTTTTTTAGGGAGCTTTGTTTGATTGTAGATTTTTTGTTTTCAATTTATTTTTATTTTTTTTATTTTAGTAATAGAAATTTAATAGCAGCGACTAGCCCAGGCAGCAAAGGGAGAACAAAATTGAAAAATAAAAAATGCAAGAAGAAGCATAAAAACACAGCGGCAGCACGCGGTGTTCAATATCTGTGGCCACGTTTGCGGGTATTAGCAACAATGTAGCGGAAAATAATAAAAAATACCGGCGGCTAGTTTTTTCTACATATTCCATTTTTACGGCATAGAAATTGAGTTAGAAAAAATTAGTTGCGCCAGTTACGTTAATTTGGTTTACAGAATTGTTGACTGTGAGAGGGGAAAAATAAATATTCTTATAACTGAAAGTGTGATTTTTTATGAAAAATTGTTTTTTTTTTCTTTTTATTTTGTTGGCGTTATATGGAGGAAAGTTGAAATTATCGATGAGAGTATTTCGCGGGTGATAAAGCAACTATATTGAGGATATTTGCGTATTAGCGAAAATGCTTTGTAAGTCATGTCAATCCAGAATCTAGTATATGGGAAGATGAGATTAATATTTATACAAAAAAAAAAAATATTTATTTAAAAGTTTTTATTCAATCAGTTTTGTGCTAGTAAAAAACGCCTCGGATTTTCAGTAAACTCTTCAGTTTTCTTTTTTATCTTCTAGCGGTTTCTTTTAGTCTGGAAAGTCTTTCCTCTCCTTTTTGTCATTTCTATCGGCATGCAGTTCCAGTTACACGACTATAGTCAATCCTCACTCTTGCGTCCTTTGCTCGCACGCTCTGGATAATGTGAGCAGCCTGTGTGCGAGATGCGGTAACCAAATCGTGTGAAACCGTGCTCCACGCCAGAAGGAGACGAGGCTTTGGTGGCGCTACTCAGCTTTATTCGGTTTAAGGGCTCACTAAAGTCAGCAGCATTAGCTCGGCTTTAGATTCGGCTACTAGCAGGCGTTTATTGTATTACTATATAAATTAGCATGTTCAAAAAATCTCCCAGTAATAGGTTGTGCATCCGTAAAAACTTTTGAAAAAAAAAAATTTGAGATAGGGTTTTTCTATACTAAGCCAACGATATAAATTATAAATTCTTAGTCCTAACAAAAATGGTTAATTTTTTTTTTTGAAATTCGGTTACGTAATCGGAGCGACACAGGTGAATATAATATTTTTTTTTGGCTCCAAAACCTCTAATTAAAATACAGTAATCGGTTGAAATAAAATTTTCTGACGTTCGTGAAAGGTGTGAAGCCGTCGGCATAGCCGAAGACAGCCGTGCTTTAATTTTTTTTTATAAAATTTAACAACTTCTCAAAAAATTGTTATACTCGAACCTAATGCCAGCAAGAGAACGGTTCATGGGGTCAAAAGTTATCCGGTATAATACATAAAACAAGAAGAAGAAAATATTCCGATGAATTGATAACCTCCACCTTTTTTGAATGGGGTTAAAAATGCGTTCAGTAGTTGCAGTGCATAGATTTATGTACTATATATAAATATTTCCTCAAAACCATTTTAAACATTACATCTTCTTTTTCTCTCTCTTTCTATATTTTTCGTTTTTTTTTGTCTATTCTATATCGCTGCTGGCTTTTACTGGTCAAGTGTGGACAACATGGCAAAGAAATAGCCGATTATAATGGTTGGCCTTCGACAGCAGCCACACGCAGCCATATGTCGGCCATCAAACAAGGATACGAGGTACTTACCAATTAAAATAATTAGTTAATTAATAAAAGTACATAGTATAAAGCTCAGCCTTCTAATAAACCAGCTCCTACACATAAGTATATACATATGTGTACGATATATACAGCTGAGAAATTATGTTGGCTGGTAAGTGTATACGCTGAAAAAAACAAAGCCAATGCTGATAAAAAAAAGAGAAAAATTTGCTGTTCTTAAAATTTGCTTAGACCCCTTTTAGACAAGTCAAGTCTTGATTTCAAGTCTGCTCGTTCGTAGGCGAAGGAGGTGAGACGAAATGTACTCTTCCCCGCTCTTCTCACCTCCTTCGCCTACGACTTGACGTGTCTGAAAGGGGTCTTAATGTTTTATCGAGCTTTTCCTTCCATTTATGATGCGACTCTTGACGTTGTCAAACAAATGGTGATACCAACAACTTGACAGCGACAGGCAGTTATACAATTTTCTTATATTTTATTTATTAGATCTTAACTACTTAGTGCAAATAAGAATAAGTAAATATGTACACCTAAAATCGCTCTTGTGCCACATTAATCATTCACACAATGGCGGATACTCATCGGTCTGATCGGGACAGTCAAATTTGCCATTGCATTTTCCATCTAAATCAATGCATCCACCATAGCCGCATTGAAATTTATCATTTGAGCATGGTTTCACATCGGTACAGATTCCGAAAAATTCATCTTTGCCATCCCAACAGTCGATTTTCTGATCACACTGCTTTTCTTCGGGTATACAACCACCATAAGAGCATTTAAAATCGGTGCATAATTTGTCAATACAATTTTTCTCCACCTCATCCGAACCATCTGGACAATCCTTAGAACCATTACACCATTGTCTATCGCCGATGAGAATACCGTCATCACATTTCGCTTTAGTTTGCGTGTGCAGTCCAACCGCAACTTAAAAAAAGTATAAAATAAACAAAATTATTATAAACCTTGTTTGATATAGCATTTGGTGAAGAAAAATTATCAACACTACTTTTATTACTTAATTATTGCGATTAAAATATTGTTTATTAATAAAAATTCCTATCTAGAAAATTTCAAGCCAAAAAATACGTTATAACAGATTCTCAGTCGAAATCTTCGCGCGGTTTTTAGGCCAAGCATTTCATAAGATTTCTGGTTGTTAGAGCACTTTTATGAAAAACTTTTAACTTGAGGAAAACCCCCCCCCCCATTTACCACAATCGCTTTGTCTACGTATGGCCATTAGACAGCTTCATATTCTATACAAACAAACACTAGGTCTCCTTCCCAAAGGGATTTATAAAACTTTATCAATTTCCTACCTCCCACTAAAATAGTTTGAATAAATTCAATGACATTTATGAGCGGCAACGTAATGAAAATACTAAAAAAATTATAGTATTCTGGAAAGAAATTATGTACGAGTTGTTATGTATTATCATTAGGGTGGTCCTTAAATGTAAAGTGCAAATTTTTTCATCAGATTTCCTAAGCCTCAACTCCTACGTCGATGCTACTATAGTCGAAGATATCACATATAAATTTTGGTCCCGATTAAATTCGGTTAAGGCGTGTCGCACAGGGGTCAAAGTTCAGATTACCCTATGACGGCATCTTAGCCGACTTTAATCGGGGCTAAAATTTATATTTGATATCCTCTACTTTAGTAGATAGTATCGACTTTGGGCATTAAATGAAAAACATTTTTTTTTTTAATTCTGAATTTTGCCCCTATGCAACACGCCTTCACCGTATCCAATTGGGACCAAAATTTATATGTGTTTTCTATGACATCGGGGTTACCGATTGAAGCGGTGAGACCGACAAATGAACATACACATTTCAAAAAACAGTTTCTACACACAATTGATTTTTTTTTTGACTTCTCGAAATTTCTTTGGTTCTATTTTATTCAGTATATATATTCTATTTAGTATAATAGTTCCTCCCGAAAATTCAGAAATATTTTCAACACTCCCAAAACCCCCTAAATTATAAGGTGATTCGAGAGGTTTTGAGAAGCTAAAGAAAAGTCCCAAAAATGGCGCAAAGTTCATGAAAAGTCTCGAAAACACGAAGAGTTGCGAAAAAAATAAAAAATAAAAACTGAGAAAAATCTTGAAAAGTCTCATTCCCAAGTCAAGAGGCATTTCATTATATTGCCATCTCTACAAGAAAACACAAAAAGGTTACAGATTACACAAATCAACAAACTTTGGACAAGTTTGACCTCGAGAGCGGGATCGATCCTATCTTACAGACTTTTGATGTGTAAACGTCTTAGCTCTCGGTATAGGTAAAATTTGCATTAACCCAGCAGAAAATTTGTAACCGCTTCGGGGTAGTTGCAGGACCATTTCGAGACTATTTTGCTATCATTTTGGGACTTGGTCGCGACTATTTCAAGACCATTTCGAGACTAATTCATCGAGACCGGTTCGGGGCTAGTTCAGAACTATTCGAGAACAAATTTAGGACTAGTTATGGACCATTTCGAGCCTAGTCCAGGAATATTTTGGGATCGTTTTGGGACTAACAACTAACCATTTACAGACGGTTTCGTGTCCTATTCAGGACAATTTTAGGTCCATTTCGGAGCTATTTGAGGCCCATTTCGGGGCTAGTGCTTTATGTGTTTATTTTGATTAAAAAAAATTATGCTTTCAAACAACAAAAATTAACTATTTCGAGATTAAATCCTTTCATTTGCCTTTATAGCCTTTATTTATAAATTTAACTAGGAATTGCTGTCAATATGTGTCCCCAGATTTGTGGTCTATCAGACACCATGCCCAGGCTAGTGTTGCAGAAAAAATATGTCCCTACTTAAAGGTTAAAAAAGGCCCTTCTCCAGTAATACCGTCGAATACAAATACACGGAGACGTAGAGACTGTAGAACGGTGATCGGTACCGCCTTGCTCATGGGGAAATCACTTTTAAGCTTCCTATACATTTTATATACATATTCGCGTTCAGATTAAAAGCTCAGCAGGAGAGCCAATCACGGTAACGCAGTCGGTGAGTGAGCAGTGGTCGCTGGTGTCGGTTTCGGTGGATGCGCACATTCTTCAAAAAAATATTAGATAATATAAAATTTGTCTGTTGCAACACTATGCACAAGATATATCCCCAGATCATATATTTATGAACTTATGTATATTGCAGCAAAAATTAAAGCAATATTTTGCTCAAATTCATTCACAAATACACCTTCTTATCTACCTACCTTCCCCATCATCCTTGCTTGTAACTGGGAATACACGGCAGCTTAAAATTAATATCACAGAATGCACAGTTAGTATATACTTGAATTCCATTGGATGATGGTATATGCAGAAAAGCTAGTATATTTTTACTTATACATATATATATCACAATGAGAAGCTAATCGCTATACAGCCTTTCAAGTTGCCTGGCTAAGAAATACTGACTAAGATTTTGACTTTGGTAAATTCATTTGAGAATGACCCTCAGTGGTTAAGTCATAATTTCTTCTTAATTATACTATTACGCATGCATAAATATATGTGTTTGCTTATCATTTTTGTTTTAAATAAACCACAATTCTTTTTAGAAAATGTTTGCTGGAGTGCCAGTTCTTGGCTGAATGCGTACGTATGTGCATTAGGGTGGTAAAAAAAAAGTATATATATCGAAACAAATTATACTCCTGTTTTTTTATTTTGAAATAAAAAAATGTTTATTATTCGAAGAATGCCGTGGGAATCATTTGTGGTATTTAGGGATCATATTAAATAATAGAAAATGGTTAACTAAACAATTGGGTATTGTTATTGGAAGTCTCCCGCAGAGAAAGGACCGAAAAATACAGATTTTCAATAATTCTATACCATTTCTACGAAAACTTGTTTTCCCCTTATATAAAACACATGGAAAACTTTCAGCGTTTCGAGCGACCTCTAAATATTTTTTTTTATTACAAAATAAAAAGCAGGGGTAAAGTTTTTTGGATATAGAACACTAATAGATGGTGAGAGTATTAAAATTCGGACTTTACTTTTTCACATGCATTTTTTGACCACCCTAATGTACGTACATATAAAATCAGGCCTTTCTCGTAATTGTAATGCAAACACCGAGCCGACACACAAAAATAAATGGAAAGAAAAGGCTTTACTTAAGATTTGCCATGCGCACGCGGCATAAAACTGAAAGGTCAACGTTCCTGATAAATAATCGAATATCAAATTCAGAAATTTTTGCTAAACTTATCTGCAAATGACGTCACGGTTATTAAACTAAAGCTTTAACGCAAGCCGATTACCCGGCAAACACAAGGAAAAATATTCTCCAACGTTTTTAAAGTTGAGTTTCAACATTCCTTAGCATTTGAGATTAATCAATAATAATTTTCTCAAATCTTATTCCTCAATTTGTCCTTGAGTGAAGAAATTGGTGAGAATTATTTACAACTTTCTGGCAGCATTTACATTTTATTTGCAAAAGTGTCCAGATGGCAGCAGTGGTGAAATATTGTTTTTTTATGTTTGGGGAAAAAGTGCAAAATTAAAAAAAAATTAATCTAAAGTTGAGAACGTTATAATCCGCTTGTTGAGACGCTATCAAATTCATCTCACTAATATCAAATTCATCTCACGTTGATATCGAACAAAAAGGTTTGCTGGGAAGGTTTTATCAACATAAATTCCTAAGTAATATTTATGCGTTGATATCAGTGAATTAAAACCTATATAATTACATATGTATACATACATACATTTACATATGTACGTGCATATAAACATACATGTGTACATATGTAAATACATTCATATAGGGTGATCCATGTAGCCCTTTTTTTGTTATTTTAAATAAAACACTTAAAACATAACTGAATATTGGAATCTTAATTATAACCAGAAAGAAGAATCTCTTACATTTACCTTTTAAAAATAATTTCATTCTCTTTATCAAAATTAAACAAACATTAACATTTGCACCCCAAGATTTTAAACTTTTTATTTTTTTATTTAAAATTTTTAGGAAAATTTCAGTATGCAGTTTTGTAGCTCATCAATGTCAATCATTGAGTAGCTTAAAGAGCAAAGTTCAAGACGCTAGAATATTGCGTTGATTTTTAATATTTTTTTGTGCTGATGGTACTAGGCATCTTCTCCCATACAAACGAAATTGTCCAGCATATTTTATATGGAAGAAAATGCACAACACCGTCAGTCAAAAAAAAAATATTAAAAATCAACGCGATTTTCTAGCGTCTTGAAATTTGCACTTAAACCAACTAACCAACTACAAAACTGCATAACAAAAACTTTTCTAAAAATTCTGAATATAAAGTTTCAAATGTTCCGGTGCAAATGTTGAATTTGCATAATTTTTTTACGAAGTTTAAAGTATGGATTTATGTAGCGCTGGTTAGATAAATTGCTAACTTTTATAAAAAAAGATAAATATTAAATAAAGAAAAGAATAGAAAAATAGCCAAAACTAGTCAAATTGTCACTTGACTTAATCAGCTGATCACAAGGGTATAGATATACATACATACATACATATACATATATCTTTATAGATGTATAAATTTTCGTTCTTAACAGTAGCAAAAATTCATAACATGGTTTTATAAAACAAATCCCATTATAAAATTTGTGTGAATGATTGAGAGGGTATTTATTAAGTATATTTATTTAATAGGACCTCTTTGAAATCTTAAGTGCCATTCCAACTTGAGTTCATATACATACATCATTAGTTTCTTATGTCTTTTTTAATGTTTCCATACATATTATGTATATATACACATATATGTTATGTACCCTAATATCAGTTTTTGTGGCCTTAATTAGTGACTAAAAAATTTTTAAGCGATTGTTTCTTGTCTAAATTTGTATTTTATTTACTTTTAGGCGAAGATGAATGATCACCACAGCAATTTGCAAAAAGGTAAGAGTGAAAAATAAACTTTAAAGATTCTAATTTTTTAAGTTGCATAACGTCGAGATCCACGTATTATTTTAAGCTATGGTGCCGCACTTTGGGCAATTATATTTTGAAATTTTTTCCCCAAGTGGCCCATAATGCGCCACCGACCTCTCCCACGTCGGCGTATTTTATGGTGTCTTATTTTCATTCCTATTAATGTAATTTTAAGTAGCATTATATTTTGGTCGTTAGAGTCTACATTGATATAACCCAGTGATTTCCAAAGTGGTCCACGTGTGCCCTCAGGGGATTTTTTTTTTTAATATATATATATTTTTTATTTTTTTACTGTAATTTTTTCATTGTAATTTTTTATTGTATTTTAAAATGAAAAAAAATATCACATATTTTTTTATGGTATTTGAGTATTTAGATTTTTTGCATATCATTATATAAATAGGCAATCATGTTTCCTTTACACCACTTTTACGGCTAAACTATACTTCTAAGGTATAAACAGTTATATATCATTAGAAAGGTATTTTGATGCTGATGTGCAGGCAATTTTTAAAACTTCAAATCAGTTTAAAATAGAGCGAAAAAATCAATTCAAAAGTCACACCAATACCAATGCACACATGTACATGGTTGGGGCGGAAATGGCCCCTAAATGTCTGCTTTAATATTGATAGCGAATTAAAGAAACGTGCTAAGCAGCAGTTCAGGAATAAAATGTATGTATGCATGTACATGAATTGATTAGACTCAAACAAGGAAGAAGGTAAAGTTGAGTATGGAGAAGAAGAAAGTGATAAATACAGAAATTAAAATAAAAGTAAAGAAACCTAGATATAAAGACAAAGAGGAAGGAAAATTTAAATACCTAACCTAATAACAATGGTGGGGGTGAATATGTAAATGAAGAAAAGAATGGACATATTTAGATCAGGATAAAGGAAAAGATAAAGATGAAGACCAAGACGACGAAGATGAAGATGAAGATGAAGATGAAGATGAAGATGAAGATGAAGATGAAGATGAAGATGAAGATGAAGATGAAGATGAAGATGAAGATGAAGATGAAGATGAAGATGAAGATGAAGATGAAGATGAAGATGAAGATGAAGACGAAGATGAAGATGAAGATGAAGATGAAGATGAAGATGAAGATGAAGACGAAGATGAAGATGAAACACACCACAACTTAACCCCCACACCGTAGTTCACCACACTTCAACTCTCTCACCACACCTTAACTCACCACACCTCAACTCACCACACCTTAACTCCACACACCTAATTTCACCACACCTTAATTCACCACACCTCAACTCACCACACGTTAACCCCCCACACCTAAATCCACCACACCGTAATTCACCACACCTCAACTTTCTCACCACACCTTAACTCACCACACCTCAACTCACCACATCTTAACTCCCCACACCTAAATTCACCACACCTAAACTCACCACAGATAAATTCACCACACCTAAACTCACCGCACGTCTTAAGCCCTCCACACCTGAATTCACAGCGCCGTAACTCCCACACCCAATTCCACCACATCGCAAACCACCACACCCAATTTCCCCACATGACATGATATCACTTTATGTGGCATCAATGACATTGCTTTAATATTGATACTGAATTAAAGAAATCTGCTAAGCAGCAGTTTAGAAATCAGATTTACGAAGATTAA